AAAAAACGATCATGTAAACATTGACAAAGATAACCCCTTCTTCCCTTCCCTTTCACAACTGGTCCAGACAAGTTATTTTGTCTAGGTCAATTGTTGTAAATTTAATTGAATGTTATATTAATACACTGTCATATTTGATATACTTTGAATGTTAATGTTTTTCGGCAGGATAATTCAATTGAAGGATTGACATATTATCTTTTACTGCTTCCATCCACTTTGATTATTTTTGTAATTGTGGCATTTATAAACTGGCTTGGTCTTCGCTTCTTTATCCACAATTAATAGTAACAGCTTAAGTAAACAGGTGAGATTAGTTGAACAAGTTCTAATATTATAGTTGTGTAAATATGTTGTTGTTTTTTTTTTACTACCAAGTTCATTACAAATTTTTTTTTTTTTTTAATTTACTAGGGAAAGAAAAACTTAAAAAAAAGGAATGTATCACAGGGTATTTGGTGGAAGGTTGGCAAATTTGTTTGTTTCTAAGTTAAAGGTCCTAGGTAAGAATCTTGGTAAAGACATATTCTTTTGAGGTTTTAAGTTATCTCTACCAAGTACTAGACATCTCTTGTGGAATGACTAAAAACAGATCAATACCCAGTTAGGACTAAAAACATGTTAACACTTAACCATTCTACTAGGTTGTTGTGCTATACTCTAAAAGGTTATTAAGTATTCTGTTTTTGTTTGTTATAAAATAATAAACTTTGTTTTATTGATCTTGTGGAATTTACTTAGTCTATTTTTAACCATTTTATAGATGTAGTCTCATTAAATTGGCCAACATTTAGAATTAAAAACAAGTTATCTAGTTTTTAGGGTGCCTCTGAGTCCACCCAGCTCTAATGGGTAACTGACATTAGTTGGGGAAAAGTAAATGTGGTTGGTCATTGTGCTGGCCCCAATAAACCCTCATTAACCATGGACCAAAGATACAGGTGACCTTTATATCATCTGCCCTATAGATCGCAATGTCTCAAAAGTTAACTTTACCTACTATAGTTACTATACTATCTAGTTAGGGATAAAAACACACTGACATATATATACATTTTCATTTGAAATAAAAGCTGTGCTTAACCTGAGTACATTCCATACAAGTACTATTTATGACAGTTATAGAAATAAAATGTCTTCTTTGTTAGAACCCATGTAATTGTGAAATGCATAGTAGCATAATTTGATCAGGGGGCATAGTGACTGAGTGGTTAAGTGCTGGCTCCCAAACCTGGGGATCGAATCTCGTTGAAGACTAGGATTTTGAATTCCGGGATTTTTAGGGCGCCACTGAGTCCACCCAACTCTAATGGGTTCCTGACTTTAGTTGGGGGGGAAAAAAGGTGGATGGTCATTGTACTGGCCACATGACACCCATGAAACCATTGGCCAAAGAAACAAGACCTTAACATCATCTGCCCAACAGATCACAAGGTCTGAAAGGAGAACTATAATTTGCTAGATCACAGAAAATCTGAAAAACCTGAACCCTTAATTATTAATTTGGTTATTAATTTGATTGAAGCAATGATCAGATATTTTGTGAGAAACTATCAAGTAGATATAGAAAAAGTCCTACTGTTGGCTTAAGTGAAATCCAATAAATTTTTTTCATAAGGCAAAAAACAGAATTCAATACAACATTCAAAAACTGGCTATAAACTCTCTAATTTCCCACGACTTCCAGGAAAATGCACATCTAGAAGCATTACAAGATAAAAGGAACCGAACAAAGTGTACAGTGAAAAGATCAGCATGTTGTTTAATAAGATTTAAATACGATGATTTGTTAGTGAATGCAGAAAGATTAAGGAAGAAAATGACATGACAAGAATAACACTTGCAAAAATTGCATGACACAAATACAATGAAACCAGAAGAATAGCTACAAAAATATGCAGAAAGAAATGGAAAGGAAAACTACCAATTTTGTGAGACTGAAATATCTAAGAAAAGATAAAGTAGAGGACAGGGAAAGTTATGCAGGACGTAGACTGCACACTCATTCATAATATAAACTTGATTTTGTTAGTAAAATTTGGCTAGAGAAAAATAATACCATATATTGGTAAACATTAAAATACACCAAAACAAACTCTAAAGCTGTTTAAATTAAAAAGGTATATTCCTACTAAATGTACTAACCAAAGCACTTGATGTAAATACAGAAACTGTATGACCCATGTTTTGATTTGTCCATAAAATTGTATGACACTCTATAAGTATTGTTTAGCTTGAGCTGCAGCAGAGATATTTTATTATTTTAAAAAAGTTAAAAGACAAAATGTAGGAACTAATTAGATCATCATTGAGTTTAACAAACATTTAAAAAGGGTCCAATTTTAAAATTTCTCTTGGGTAATAATAAACACAACTTTTTTGTTCTAAACTTACATTACGTTTTTACTTTCTTCATACTCAATGTGTAAATGTATTATGTAATTTGAACACTAATGAGTATATTTCTCAGGAAATGTGTATAACTGCAAGTCAACTTTTAATTTCAAAATGAACTTAGTTCTAACATTTTCCTTTAACAAGGTTTGATGTTCTCAATTTTCTTTTACAGATGTCACTGTCACTTTTTGGCTGTGGTTATAATGGATTTTTGAAATTATCTAATATTAAATTATTAGATGTGGAGAACAAATCAAAGGTGCTACAGGAAGCTACACAAACATTGAAAATATTATCACCTTTGTTTTTGATTCAGCTCAAAGAAAAAGAAGATGTACACAGTATTGCAATAACTTGGGCACGCTTAGGAATAACTATGAAGAGAAGTAAGTTTTGATATGGAAATTAACAAACACATTTTGACATCAAAGTCTCTGTAGTGGATGAGAGTTGCCACACACAAACAATGGTGTGAGATGGAATGGGAAATAGATTACTGAATGAAATTTGAATCTTGATTGTATACTTTTTAAATGAGTACTTAATTTTGTTCAGGAGCTTAATGGCAGCCATTCAATGATAAGTGTTTAGAGAGCTACCCAAATCTTTAGTATAGGCACTTTTCTTTTAATTGACCAATCAGCTATGAAAATTAAAGTTGCATTCATATTTATCTCAATATTTGTCTTTTATAATACTTTCAATTATTTCTTCACAGTGAATACATTTTGCTCCTTTATAACTGAACTCGGTAACAACAAATATGCTAGTCAAAGTGTCCTTCAAGTTTTTGACAATTGTATTATTAAAGCATCTACAGAGCAAGAGATACTTGTGAAAACACCAGATGTAAGCAAATATTTGATTTTAAAGGACAATGCAAATGAAAGCCTACATATTGATGCTGTAGTTGAAACAGATTTAATATGTGGAACCCATCACACATATTTTGTCAGTTCAAGTTAGTTTTTTTTTGTTGTTATATTCTGTTAAAAGTGGCCTTTTTTAGAGCCTTTATCATGGAAAAAGCCACTATTGCTATTGTTTTCACATTTAGAGTTTGAATACTAAAGATACTCATAAAATTAAAATCATCATCATGTTTAAACAGGGGCAGTGGTTCTCTTTGGTCTTCCAAAGATATTGGGCAGGACATTACCTAAATTGTACCGATGTGCCAAAAATCTAAAGATATGCTTATAATACACATATTTTTAAAGCAAAGTGTAAAATTCAGTTTGTATATATGTATGGTTTTATATCAAGAACATAATTTGTCATTGAAAATATGATTCCACTATTGTCATCAAGATGCTAAAATAGGTGTAATTGCTAGTCACCCGTTTATCCTTCTGCATTTAAAATAAAATAATTTACTGATGCAGGGGTGAAAAATCATATAGAAAATACAAAAAAAACATACACATAGGAAACACTGCTAAATTTTTACTTTAATCCAGCTGGGTTTCCTTATTGTTTTTTTTTTAATTGTTTTATAATAACATATGAATACATAAGTACATACATAAAAAACAATTTTTAAAACAAGGGGAAAAGGTATCTATAAGAATTATATTATTTCCTATATTTGTTTCAACTGAACCTTATGGATTAAAAAATTATGTTTTAAAAATATGTTTAACATAGATGAAAGATTTGGTGAGCTTGATCCCACAAAGAACAGACACCAAAATGAAAAGGTACAGGCCTCTGTGGCAGTCTGTCCTATTTCATCTAGATTTAGGATACGAGAAATGAGCTGTGGGAAGGAACATGTTTTACTTTTAGACGACACTGGTAGTATTTACAGCTATGGAGGTGGGAGGTAAGAGCAGTCAGAAAGTAGCCAGTGTCAAACTTTAAAGAAATAGGACCATGTCAACTTTAAACTAGCCAATTTAAGTCTTATAATAAATTGGCTAATGTAAGCCTAATACTTTTGTTTAGCAAAGAAAAGCACACTTTTTTCTGTGTTTAAATATGGATTTGAAACTTTGATTTGATAAGAGATTTGTGTAATGAATACGTTGTTTCTCAGCTAGTATTTTAACTCACTACCTTAATCTCTTTTTGCCATGCTGTCAGCCATTCTTCCTATACTAACATTCTAACATTCACTGTCTGTTGTTAAGAAAATGAAGTATGATTTTTTGCTGTTTACTTCGTAAATGTGGCATAAACCTCTTGGCTGCCTACAAAGGGGGCTAGAGTTTGAAATCAGACTCAAGCTGAATTGTGTTTACTAAGGGCCTTAGCCTGGAAACCCTCTCCCAGATTCCGCGTTTTCCTTCTAGTTGGGTAGCCAGTCAAGGCTAATCATCCCCTTCTGCCCAAAGCTTACTGGTTTTAGGCACCAGTTGCTTACCTTTGCCCATTCTCCTGTTAGTGATAAACGTTCCTCTGGGCTCAGTATATGAGCCACAGAATAACAATAACACATTAATAACATTTGAGTATGAGTGAAGTAATTTTTTATTATATTCTTGCTTTAACTCCTTCTTTAAAGCAAAGGACAACTTGGTCACAGCACAGTTGAGTCTAAATCTTTACCAACAGTAATTGATGCATTACATGGACTTACCATCAAAACTATTTCAGCAGGAGGGTGGCACTCAGCAGCTATTTCAGGTTGTTATAATAGACAGTAAAGACTTTTTTAAACAGATGTCAAATCTCTTAGGTTTTACTTAATTTTATTGTTCAAATTGTTAATAAGGAAATTTGCATTAGTCAACTCAGTTCATGTTTTATCTTGTAAACAAGTTATTATTCAGTTTTAACAAGTGACATTATAGGCCTACTATTTTATCAGTAAATATTATTGACACTGTATGAAAATGAGACATTCTGTTAAATACCTAGAGCAATGCCTGTTGCTTTCAGGCCAGATACAAAATGACTTGATTGTTACATACTTTTCTACAAAATGTCTTGATTGTTACATACTTTTCTTAGGCCAATATGTGAAATGATCAAACTGTCTAATAATGAAAGAATTAATACAAAATGATTAACAGAATGTCTTTATTGGAAGAACAAGAAATTAGAAGTTTTCACACTTGACAGAAATGTGTATCTCTAGTTAAAATATTTTTATTGAGATTTCAAGATTAATCGGGATTAAAAAAAAAACAGGGTAGAGTTAACTAGTGAAAGCTAGTTGATTTAACATGTACGAATTTAAATAGTGGTGTCTAAGGCCAATACATTTATTCTCACAGGTTTAAGATTTTAATGAAATTTCTATTTTTCAAGTATTTGGTGATCTCTACATGTGGGGATGGAATGAGAGTGGTCAGTTGGGCCTAGCATCTTTGGACAAGGAGGAAACTAGTTCAACCATTGTGACTGAACCAAAATGTATATATTTCTCTAGTGATCTTAATGTTGTATCAGTCTCCTGTGGCTCAAGACACACAGTTGTATTAACAGGCTAGTTCAATATACATTTTTTTTCATTCATTGTCATCTTGGCAATTTCTGCTATTCTGATTGAATACAAAATAGGTGTATTTGAAATATTAGTATTCGAAATATTAGATTAAAGCACATTCCACATTATAATAATGCATTTTTGTTTTAATATGCTGAGTAGCAGTTAAAAATATCTTTAAAGCATTTCTTAATTATCAATTTTTTTTTTTTTTTACACCTTCTGGTTTAATAAAAGTTAACATATTTCATATGTAAACATATCATATATTTGTTGCCTAAATTTGTGAGTTCTAAATTATTACAGTATAGTCATTATTCCTTATTTCCTTTTGCATCATGCAGGTGGTGGACAAGTATTAGCCAGTGGCTGGAATAGATATGGACAACTAGGACTAGGGGATACAATCAACAGATGGAACTTAACACAGTTGGCCTCTATACCTTTTATCACCATTCAAAAAGTGTTTGCTGGACACTGGAATACAATATTTCTATGTCAACAATTAGAATTATGAAAAATGATTTGAAATTATTATTAAAAGAATTTTTATTGTTTTTACATTTTATTTGACCTTCTTTCAAAATTAAATTTATTTTTACCAACTAATTTTACTTTACAAATTAGGCTCTAAGGACATGAACTACAATTATTTAAGTTCAACCAATATGTTCATATATAATCAAGATTGAAAAAAAGTAATTAGTTTTAAATGACTGGTAAAGAGATAAAGTGAACACGACTCCAGGAGTTTCAACATAATTAAATTTCAAATGTTCATGAGCTGTTTGAAGTATTTTTGGTATAAATACAATTAGAAATAACTGAACCTGTGTGAGCTCATACTATAAAATTACAGGCTAAAATTCTCTTCAAACATTGAAGAATTGTTTCCACTAACATCAAAATCACAGCAATCATCATGCTTATAATTATGCACAAGTTTATTGTAATCATTATGGCACATAAATATGCATGATCAACAATAAAATGTAAAATAACGGTTTAAGTCAAAAAGTAGATGTATCTATTATTATTATTCAAGGTGTAATAACAGATTCAATGAATACACACAGCTGCTGAATCATTCAAAATGATTGATGGTCAAATAAATTCTATAACATTTTCTAGACAAACAATTTGTTTTTATTGAGCCATTTGCTTTCTGTTTAATATTTATTATAATTTTTTTTCAAATAAGCTCTGTTTAACATTGACATAAATAAAACAAAATATTTATAGTACCGGTATGCTATGATTAAAAAATTTCTTAGTGGAATAAACAATTATATTTGTAAATATAATTATTTTGAATACAGTTTATTAAAGCTATTACAATCAACCAAAACAATTATTACAAAAAAATGATTCCCTAAAGTTAGCCTCCTTCACAATGAGACTCATGGAATGAAAGTATACCAGGTGAGTTTATATCAGACAAAGCTGTTGGTTTTCCACCCTTACAAAACAGTTCTTTATGTCTTGCTATCATTTATTAGGGATTAACCAAGTATTCTTTATATCTTAGTAAAGTTAATCACATTACAATGTTACATAATGTTAGTAAATGAAGGGAACACAATTTAGATTTCAAAGTATACAGCTCAAGAGGAATACTTTTTGTACAGTTCCATCACATCTGCAACATCCTCCTTGGAGCCCATGAATACTGAACATTTCTCATGGATGTTTTCAGGTACAATTTCAAGAATACGTCGATGTCCATCTGTAGCTGCACCACATGCCTGCTCCATAATGTAAGCCATGGGATTTCCTTCATACATAAGTCTCAGCTAATTACAAGAAAAATTAAGTTAGTTGTTTTTATGCTTAAAAAAAAAGGGTTTTCGCAATGCTACTATTTGTTAACTAATAAACTTACACATGACAAAAGAACACAAAAAAAGGGTTTGATTTAAGTTTGGAAATTGACTAAGTTACTGTTTATAGTAGGGGTGCACCGGATAGTATTTTTTGACTAAACAAATAAAAGGGGGTGGGAGCTGTTCATCTCTACCTCTGGAGATATACCTGTTTACCAGTGTAGAGGTGTGGCTTGAAGTCCAGCCTCCTACTACAGATTTACTACCAAGTAAACAAATTCAGTTCCTTCGTAAGGTGTGACTTCTAGAGAGTGTCAATATGCAGACATTAACTTAGTTCATAGTATTTGACTTATGGTCACCAATCTGTTGATGTGATAAAAAAGGGATTTAAAATCAGTAAACATTGATACTGACCATTGGGAAGACATAGCTTTAGATCACACTAGTTGGAGAGGGACAAGAAAGCTATAGACAGCGAGAAAACATGGGCCTCGATTCTTGGATAAAAGCATGCCACACGGAAAATGGACAGCTCCTCCACCACCAAAGCGAAAGCTACCTTGACATGCAATATATGTGGACAGGAGTGTCTCTCCAAAATAGGGCTCCACTATCCGGCAGTGATATTCAACAGGAGACTAATATGGCCGAATAGTGAAAAAATGCTGAATATTCGGCAGAAGCCGGAGCGACTATCTGGTGCACCTCTAGTTGAAAGACAAAGATTTTTTTTAACCTTTCCTTTTGGTGCTTCTGATGTTGCTGGATACATGAAGATACCACCATAGCAAATAGTTCTATGAACGTCAGCTACCATTGAACCAATATAACGTGCTCCATAGGGTGAGGTACCATCCTGTGTGAATAAAAAAGAATTTAAATCTTTTAAAACTAACAAGTTCATTAAAGGGAAACTCCGATGGTTTTGACAATTTTTTATATGTGTTTTGATTTACAGATAATGAATATATTATTCTTTTTTTAAAATTTGCAATAATAACTTAGTAATTGATGTTTTTCTGACGTAATTTTCCTGCGCATCCAAAACAGTCAGACATTCACTGGGTTTCTATGTGACGTCACACTAGCCTACTAATTTAATCTATTGACTTATTGTATAACGGGAGACCATACAGAAAAGTTAACATTCTCATAAAAGAAATATATTTTTGTCTATGCAGTTAGATCTAGGATCTTGTAAGCAAAGAAAAAATTAGTATTAAAAGTAGATTTACATGCTTGACTAACCACGGCAGTGTGTAATTTCTCGCCTGACCACTCAACAAACAACAAACACTATCGCTTAGTTGTCTTGTCATGACCGACTACACGTAGTCTAGACTAGCCTTACACTGACCATTTTTTTCAAATGTCAGACACACGATCTATTTACTTCTTGGGAAAGGGAGAGGCTTACATGAAAATGTTACTTTTTTTCTTGGGTTGCTTATCCTAATGCCTTTAGATCTACCTACACATGTATATATAACTATACCATAGCTCTGGAATAGGCCGTCACTAAGCCCAAGAGCCTGTAAGAATGAAGTGATACGATTGGTTAAATCTAGTTTCCTTTTCAGTATTGTTGATGGAAGTGATGTATGCCTAACCTAAAAACAAAATCTCAAAGAACCCTGTTTTTTTTGAGATGTCAAGAATTTACTGTCTAATTTATTAAATATAAATGTTTCTAAGCATTTAAATTAAAAAATGGTAAAATGTTTACTATTACAACTTTTTACGCAGAATTAAATATGTCAATAAATCAAATTTGAAAAACCATCGGAGTTTCCCTTTAAGATTTCCATGGAATACCAAGATTGTTGTTCACAAACAAAATAGAATCTTGTGATTTTTTTATCTCTTTTTCAGTTTTGAGGTACCTGCACTTTGACAATCAAAAGCTTTTGAATAGTCTGCACTTCTACATGCAATTTCTTGACTAAGCAAGATAAGGCTAGATGGAAAGATATTGACTGATGCTATTGTGTTCTTATATATAGTGTTAAGAGACTTGAATTATTTTTGATCTGTTAATTAAAACTTGCATGGAAATTTTCTTTTTGAATTATTTTTGATCTGTTAATTAAAACTTGCATGGAAATTTTCTTTTTAACATTTTGGCCCATCCATTAACAGCTGCAGTGTTTGACATTGATGCCTTCTATAGATTTGAAAGTGGCTAAGTTTTTGTGACTTTAAGATCTAAGTTACCACTGGACCATTATTCCAGTACCTTACCAAGTAATACACTAGTTTGCAAACAAAAAAACAAAGAGATATTTGTGGAGTTATTTTCTCAGTAACCCATTCAGAAGCAATCCCAAAGCATACTATGGAGAATTTGTTTCTATCTCATAAGAAAAATAATTGTCATTAGGTTCAGACAGTGAAATAGCCAAACAAGTTACTAACATTTAATAGAATTACAACTAGATTGAGTAACCACAGCTACTATTGCATAGAGTATTTTAACTTTCAAAATAGCTTCCTTGACAAAACTTATGTTGCATTATTGAGATAATTTCATTATAATGATGAAGAAGGTTCCTCTAAGCATTCTGTTATCAATGCTAGGATTTAACTCAATAGCTACTAAACCCATAACCTAAGCAGCATCTCTCTAAATATTAAGCAAAGGGAGGTAACTCCAAAACAGAAATAGATTGACTTTACAAAATATATTTTAAAAAACATTAAACATCTATCAATAACAAAAAATACTTCTAAAAAAAGAGAAATGGATGACCTTTAAAATGATGTATAATTTGAATAGGTTTTATAAGATTAAAACAATAAAACAACAGGTAAAGATGAAAATATGTTCGAGAGCCTGATTTTTGAAGACTGGTGGACCCCCCCCCCCCTCCCCCCATCTGTAAATTTTGGTAACCTTTAACATTTACCCAAAGATCAGTAATGTTTATAAGTAGGAATTTAGTAGGCCTATACAATCAACATTATGCTTATATATAAAACCTGTATATGTCTTGAGTATTTACTGACTTTCACTGGGTGTGCGTGAGGCCCT